CTAAACCTTAATGATGCCATGATTTTTGATTGACAAAAAAAAAAAAAAGAAGTTATAAATCTAAAGGAACAAATGAACTGTTTTCCAAGTGAATGCATGAAAATTAATACTCAGGATAAACAGAGCAATACCTGTTTTTCTTGTGCAGCAGCTATTCATTGCATTAATTCTGTGAAAGGTGCATTTGTAAAAAGTGTAATTTCAAAGAGAACAAGACTATGTTCTGTGAAAAATGTTAATAAATTCTAACCTCATGGAAAAATGGGTGCCAGCCAATTTAACACAGTTTTTATGAAAACAAAAAAGCAATTTAAAACTTCATTTTTGCTCAAATATAATGTTAGTTGTGGAACACCATTGTCAACAAAGACTTATCTAACTTTCTTCCAAGATAATTTGTTTTGAGATAAAATTTACATAAATGCTACTGTTACTATTAGTCAAATATGCAAGTAAAAAAAAAATCTAGGCATTCTGGTTTATAATGGGTATCAACCCTCAAGATTGCAGTGATTTACATAATTACCATAAATGCACTATCAGTAACTAAATTTCAAGCCCTGTGTTACTCTCTCAGCTCCTATAATCTTCTCTTTTATTTTACTGGCTCCTATTTTTAGAGTAATCAAGAAATTTTCAAGTAATGATAAGGCTGCACTGACTTTTAGCTTTGGGTTTTTCTGAGTAAAGCAGAAAAATTAATGATTTCATAGAAGCAGATAATTGGACATGCTGTGTTTGTCATTGAATCCTTGGTGTTGCACACCACACCCCGCCTTTCTATGTTTTTACAAGCAACATGTAAAAAGCAGTTAGGGTTTCTTGCCCCCCAAAAGACTTGGAAGGCTATTCGAGAACTTTGTAGCTCCACTGAAGAATTGTCTTGTTTTCATCTTAAAATTAATGTTTATGTTTTGTGTATGTAAGTACTGCATTAAAACCAGGCCTAAATAAATCAGTTTTGATCACTACTGCTCAAATGCATTTTGCTAGTTCACCTAGTCAGGTCCCTTGCTCTCACACATAGATCGTTAGGTGTCTTTCATAAAAGAGCTGCAAAGGAGGGAAGAAAGTCCCTCCAAAGTAAAGAATCAGACTTTTGCAGAGTCTGAAAAAAGGAAAATTTGCAATGTTCCATCCCTCTTTTCCTCTGTTGTCTGCCATTCCTTCCCATGCAAGCCTGCTATTTTTTTGTCTCCAAAAGTAGAGCTCTACCTCAGTATTTACAGGAGTAGTGTGTGCCTCAGAGGTGATCACTGTGCACTCAGAGGTGATCACTGTGCACTCAGAGGTGATCACTGCACACTCAGAGGTGATCACTGCGCACTCAGAGGTGATCACTGTGCACTCAGAGGTGATCACTGCGCACTCAGAGGTGATCACTGTGCACTCAGAGGTGATCACTGTGCACTCAGAGGTGATCACTGCACACTCAGAGGTGATCACTGTGCACTCAGAGGGGATCACTGCACTCAGAGGTGATCACTGTGCACACAGAGGTGATCACTGGGCACTCAGAGGTGATCACTGTGCACTCAGAGGAGATCACTGTGCACTCAGAGGTGATCACTCTGCACTCAGAGGAGATCACTGCACTCAGAGGTGATCACTGTGCACTCAGAGGTCATCACTGTGCACTCAGAGCTGATCACTGCGCACTCAGAGGTGATCACTGCACACTCAGAGGTGATCACTGTGCACTCAGAGGTGATCACTCTGCACTCAGAGGAGATCACTGCACTCAGAGGTGATCACTGTGCACTCAGAGGTCATCACTGCGCACTCAGAGGTGATCACTGCACTCAGAGGTGATCACTGTGCACTCAGAGGTGATCACTGTGCACTCAGAGGTGATCACTGTGCACTCAGAGGAGATCACTGCACACTCAGAGGTGATCACTGTGCACTCAGAGGTCATCACTGTGCACTCAGAGGTGATCACTGCGCACTCAGAGGTGATCACTGCACACTCAGAGGTGATCACTGTGCACTCAGAGGTGATCACTCTTCACTCAGAGGTGATCACTGCACTCAGAGGTGATCACTGCGCACTCAGAGGTGATCACTGCGCACTCAGAAGTGATCACTGCACTCAGAGGTGATCACTGCGCACTCAGAAGTGATCACTGCACTCAGAGGTGATCACTGTGCACTCAGAGGTGATCACTGCCCACTCAGAGGTGATCACTGTGCACTCAGAGGTGATCACTGCGCACTCAGAAGTGATCACTGCACTCAGAGGTGATCACTGTGCACTCAGAGGTCACCACTGTGCACTCAGAAGTGATCACTGCACACTCAGAGGTCACCACTTTCCTTCCTGCTGTGAGGATATAGCACAAGCAAACAGTACTGGAACAGAAAGTCATCTTCTGGTTAGATGGGGTTTGTATTGAAGTATATTGCTTCCAAATGCAACTCAATCATCTGAAAGATGCTCCTGGAGAAATCTAACCCTCTGCATTTTTAGCTTCGAACCTCCCATCAAGCAATGGGGCATGAACAGTTCCTACACTCCTGAGAGCTTCCCAGGTGCAGTTTAGTTTGGTTTGGCAGGAGGGATCTGGCCCCAGAACAGTGAAAGGAAGTCAAAGCTTCTTGAACCTGCTAACACACTGGAATGTTTTCTGCCACAAATTATGATGGTTTCACTTTCAGATAGCAGAGGACTGGAAGGTTGGAGAAAACTCAGCTCAAAAAAGCTGTGCTGACAGCTCTTTCTAAACTACAGAGGGCAATAAGTACACAGAAATCATGCTGCTCTGGGTCATTGAAAACTGACTCAGCCACTGTAGATACACTGTGTGCAGGTGGGTCCCACAGTGCAGGTCTTCAATTCCAGAATTCTTTTCTATACATGAATTTTCCAACTAGCACATCACTTAGAAGAGAGTAATAAATGCTGCTAGTAGTCAGTGGCTGTTCAAGGGACTCAGTGGCTGCAGTGGCAGACTGGTGACAAAAAGTTTTATGCTCCACTAGGAGAGAAAACCCAAGTCTAGCCTGGGATGCACGTCAATGGCCATTTAAAACCACACGAACCTGAGCAGGGAGCAGCTTGAGCTATGAGCTGTCTCACATCTTGTGTGTCACTGGTGAGGAACATCATTTATTATGCTATCTCAATGTGCTAACTAACTTTTGCTGCACATCCAGCTCTGATTTTAGATGGCTGAAGTCCAGATTTTAGACCACGAACTTAAGTAAAACTTGAACTACTTAAGACAGAAATTTTAATATTTGCATTCCAATGATTTATTGGGTAATGAGGTCACATAACCTATCTGTTTCCTGAGAAGTGAGTTCCTGTTGAAAACAATCCAAACTTTGAATTTAATTTCCATACAAAGATGTAGTGTCGGAGCGTATCCTTGGCAGAAAGCTCTATTTTAGAATATTTGAGAACACCTTTTTTGTTTGACTGTGTTCACACAGAGTTTCTACTAAATGGAATTAAAAGTGCTTTTCCAATTTTAGCCTTGCTCTATTTCTGCCACTTCTAACAAATAGTCAGCTGAAGTATTCCTGAAAGACAGAAAACCCATTAGGCTTGAATCCTCAGTTAAGAAAATAAAATTCAAAGAAATTGTGGTTTGGTTATATTTTAGATGGGTTCTTCAAGTAGACATAGGCAACACTAATATTCCAGATTTTCTTATCCATATTTCTAGTCAGGCCAGTACATATCTTTTATAATCTCATTAGTCTGCAGGGACTTCTCCTAATTAACTTTCTGAAGTAATTCTTAAATGCAGTCTTTTATTTACTTCCAGTTGCTGAGATGACATCCTGCCCTTCAGCAGCAGTATTTGATACATATGGCTATTTTAAAAAAAATTATGCATAGCTAAAATGAACCAATCTGTTGCTTTTTAATATCCAGCTCAACACGACAGTGAGTCAGTGCCCGTTCATTATGAGTGGAAGATGCACAGCATGAATGAACAGACATTCAGCTTCCTGGCTCAAGCTGTAAATAAATAATGTACACTTTTGGGTTTTTATTTTGGCAGGTTATGTAAAATGTATGAGTACTTTACTCCTGCAAACACCTGAATACCAAAGATAACAGCTTCACTAAAGAAGCACAGCTTTTTCCACATTGATCTTTCCACTGATTGACTGAAAAAACACCCAGGGTTTTTTGATCCCAGGGGATCTCACTGAATAATTTTGGCTGAAATTTCTGGTTTTGGTGATTAGCCTGGTGTGGATCTGTGGCTGGGTTTGGAGGATCTTGGCTCACTTCCCTCACCTTTTGAAGCTGTTCCACCTTGCACAGGACATTTAACTGTTCAGCCAGGGAAGAGGAGGGAATCACCCAATGTACTGATGCACTTTTGGTCAGCCACACAGCTGGGATGGGGTCTGAACACAGGAGCAGGTACAGCCACAGTGAACTGAGTGCCAGCTGGATTGGCTGCCTGGCATGTCCTGCAGCCCTGCCACATCCCTGGGGAGATGTGCAGGTGGACAAACCAACCTTCTTCCCCTGGGAAGCATCTCCTCCCTCCAGGCTAAAGGCCCTCTTGCTGTGCTGGTGGGCAACAGCCCTAGCACCTCCTCTTGGCAGGCTCTGTGACCACTGCTTTTGTTTAAAAGGCCTCAAATGGAAATGAAATCTTGTTCTTGGCCAGGAGGTTTCCCTCAACCCACCAGATTTTTTTTTCAAATTTGGTCTATTTCCAAATGTTGGTGTTGATACTTACCCACATTTGGCAGGGGACCTAGAACCCTCTTCACACAACAGTGCAAAGAACATTCTTCAGACAATTCACAAACATTTTGGCTATATCCAAACTGCAATAGATTGCAGACAGGACTTAAAAGATTTTGTATACAACCATTTTGACAAGCCTTTTCTGACTGGATTTTGCTACAAACATGCATATTTGGAAGAACTTAAATATAAATTAGTAAATTCTCATAAGAAAACTACAAGAAATACTCCAAACAAACAAAATATACAATGTAAGAAAAAATTCACAATCTTTACTTACTTTCTTTGTTTTGTCCATTGCCTTCAGTATGGTTATGCTTGTCTTCCAAGACAGATAGAAAATTTTCATACTCTCCTAAGTGCTTTGAAAAATAATCTAAAAGAAGAAAAAACCCCACATCACCTACAAATGACCTCAAAAATCAGTGTCTCATTATATATCAGCTTCATCAAGTCTGAATTAAGTTACAGCATTATTGAATATCTAAATGCAAAATAAAAAGGAGCTACAATGAAAAGGATAATTTTCTTTTTAAATTTTGTATTCTTTCTCTGCAAAATCATTCCTGGCATTCTTAAAATACCAAGATCAGTATTTCAAAATATTTTATTGAAATAAGTGATCTGTCAAATTCACAAAAAATGTAAATATCATTTTACAGATGAAACAAACTTATTTTCAAAATATCTACATCTTCTTTGTAAATTGAAATTTCAGTCTAATAGTCTTCAATTGCTAGCAGCAAGTGAAGTTTTCATATGTATGTGGTGAATTTGATTATATTGATATGAAAATTAGTAATTCTGGTAGAGCCCTTAGAGGAGATAATATCAGGTGGGGGCTGTTGTGGGGCAGGGTTGGGAGAGAGCAGCTGTTTCTCTGAGAAATGAAGAGACCATGAGTTGGCCAGATAAGCTTCTAGTCCCAGGTGCTGTGACATTTTCAAACAAATACAATGCATGCAAAATTAATTTTAATGAAAATCATGGAAATAACAAGTTGCAGGATGTCCCTGTGTAGCTTCTCAAAGCAAAGGACTTCTTAACAGAAAGAGCTGATGTAAAATCAGAGGGATTACAGCAAGAGGAGGAAACAAACCTGGGAAATGATGACCCGACTTCCCATTTGGTTGATGTGGTGAAATACAACAGAGGGAAGCACAGGAAAGAAGTAGTGTAGAGAGAAGAAAGAAAAATAAATAAATAAAATTATGTTAAAGCTTAGAGACTGTGTTAGACAAGGCATTTAAACATCAGATCACCTGGAAGAGCACAAAAATTAACATCTAAGTGGCAGACAGGAAGAACAAGATTAGATAGGAGCTTTTTGAAATAATAAATAGCAACCCTTCAGGGCTTTTAAGAGGTCAGCAAGAGCTCTCAGGGGAATCATGAAAACATAAGTTACCAGGAACACTGTGATGTGACCTCATATTGCTGCGAGATTGAATGAAATTATTTAGAATTAAAATGTATTATTAATTAGTACCCTGGATTTTTTTAGCTTCATTTCTGAGATAAACTCATATAGCTCAGAAAGAGATGTATAATCACAAGCTTAAATATGGATTGAGTAAATTCAGTACCAGATTCACAGATGAGAAACACCCTAGTGGCAACATTTGAAGGATTTAAAAGGCATTTGAAGCAGCCTGTACTTAATCAAAACAGACAATAAACAGAGTCAGTGCTGGACTGACACCCCCAGGCCAGCAAGCCTGTGCAACATCAGCTGCAGTAAATCCCATGTGGAACAAAACCACCTCTCTTCCTCAGCCAGGTTTATACAATTTTGGCCAGATGCTCAACCAGCAGAAATTGTAACAGCCCAGTTCACTTCAGATAAGCCTCTTGTCACATATTTATAAGCCACAGGGTGAGGCGGTTTTTAGGGGGTTCTTGGCCATGTCACCCTGTGGATGGGTAAACAAGCTGGTATTCAACTTGACAATGTTCATCTTTTAAAGGTCTTCAACATTGCTGACCATTGGAAAACTTACCAGGCTCCCATGTTTCCCTTAGAAACTGTCTGGTGTTGACGAGTAGGATTTTTTTTTCCTGACATTTTGTGGGAGAACCTGCAAAAACATTTGTAAATTGTTTTCTGCTGCAAGAAGCACTCCTAAATCAGGTGCTGTTAGATAAGCTGGAGAGCAAACAGGGTGTTGGGGAAATGACTCACAGCTCAGAATGAGGTACAGAAATGGGTAATTGGGCCAAAATCTGGGCCTTGCAGGAGTTTTATTGCAACAAAGGATGATAGAGCTTGTCAAACTTGCTGTTCTCCCTGGCTCAAGTAGGAGGAAAGTAATGAATTTTCTTTTAGTGGGGGTATATGACAAGTGTTAAAGTGAGAAACTAACTAGAAAAGATAACTCATACTAAGGGGAAATAAAATACGAGTCATCTATCCATCCATCTATCTGTCTGTCTATCTATCTATCTATCTATCTATCTATCTATCTATCTATCTTTATGTCACAACAGATCTTGAGTCTCAGAGAGTGTGAAATACTGATTAGGAAAAATATTTTCAAAGCAAATTCTGCACATAGGGGATGACAGAGCCTGAAAAGATTATAAGCCATCTGCATTTTCCCAGGAGTTCTCTGAGTGGAAATTATTTTCTGTTTGAGCTACAAAGATTAAACAGAAAAAAATAATCACATGGCATGTTTATTTGCACAGGGCTGCTGTAGGCAGATTTTGTTCTTCCCCAAAAAAGAACTTACCACAGAGCTCTTCTGTGTCAAGAGTGCTGGAAAGATAAGAGTATAGAAGGTTAGTGAGGTTAGTAATGTGGTTTTTTTGTTGTATTGGTAAATAGTGCAACTCAAATATTAGCCTGACTGGCACATGAAGCCCCTGCTTGGGCTGCAGCAGAAGATGCAAGTGCCTGGCTCTGGCTGGCCTTGCTCTGCTGCCTTAAGTCAGAAGGCTGCAGCCTTTCTGAAGCTGGCTGCAGGTTCAGCCTCCATTCCTGGGCCCATTCCCACTGGCACCTTCCTACTCACTGCAAGCTCACTCTCAAGTTCAGCCTTTGTGCACCACAATGCAGTCACTGCTCCTCAGGCCCTACACATTTGGCCCCAGTTCTTGCAGAAATACATCTAAACACCAGAAATTTTTGGTTTGGGGTTTCTTCCTCCACCTTTCTGCCTGTACTCCCCTTCTGTGGCTGTCATGTTGGACAGCAAGGCTCAGAGACCTTGGCCTTCCATGCTAAAGAAGAAAAAACCCAGTAACTTTCTCCTGTTTGCAATCCTTGATGTGCAATAGTGTTCTATGGGAGAGCCTTGCAGAAGGAGGACAAAACCAGACATAGCCCATGAGCACACATAATTCCTAAGACTTTCTGGCCATGCCAGACCATTTCATCACTACTAACTCTGGCAAAATTAATAATGTGAAAAATATAGATGTACTGCCATACTCCCATGCCATCATTATATAAATATATAAATGCAGGGAAGTATTCTATTCAATTCAAACCTGTTTGCTTGAAGCAGATCTCATCTTGATCAACTTTGAAGAGATATTTTCTCTCATAAGCAAGGCTTTAATAGTTAAAATAGCTCATTACTGAAAGTTAGCACATTGCTTTTCTTCCAAGGAGGAAAAGATACAGATTATTAAAAAAACTTAAAAGCATGAATGTCCTCTTTGAATCTTGCTGAGGGGTGAATATTGAACGGCTGACTGCACTTAGTATTTTTTCACTTATCTTTTTAATGGAATTTTTAATTGACCTTTTAATAAAATGATGACACAGTACTATCTTAAAATCACTTTCTCCACTGCTAACTTCCATACATCTGGCTTTTATTTCACAAGGGAGAGAAACTGATAGAAATTGCAGGATCCTGGATTATCACAAACTTTCATACTCAGGGCTATAAAAACTTCTGAACACTTTTAATTGATAATGTAAATGAGATTTTCACACAACACTTATTAATTGAAGTTGATTCTTATCTGCGTTCAAACAGGCCAAGTGAGATGGCTGCAAATGAGGCTTTCACCTGATTTCTCCAATGACCTTGGTGGCAGGGTTAAAGGAACTCACAGTCTGTAAGAACTGGTGCTGAACTGTGAAATTCAACTCTTAGGTAAAGAAACCATGTGATGGGGAAGTGTCTGCAACCCCTCAAGGCTGTTTACCACAGATCACTATGGTATCTATGATCTAATGTGTCTGGCCAACTCTTCTGCAGTTCAGCAGCCCATTTTGGAACAGTCCAGATTTCACCTCTTAAATGCAGACTGAAACCCTGAAAGCTGGAAAATTTCCTGAGCCAAAGAGCCTTGACAGGATATGATGAGGTCAAAGGACAGGAGTTTGCTGTTATAATGCCTACTCTTTTTTCATTATCCCTCCATTTTCTGCTCCTTCACATCATCTGCCCTAATGATTTAATGTAAAAGACTTCTGCATTTCTTAATGCACAGCTTGATAGCAGTGTTTAAAACAGCCTTTCACATTGTTAACCAATCAAATTCATGCTCTCTTTTCAAATTTTATATTTAAATCCCTTCTGGTCTGTGTTCTTTTGCAACATCCTCAGCCCCCTGTGAGAGTGGCTCAGAGGCTTTCAGCATCCCTGTTTTCAACATGCTGTTTGTCCCATTGACAGGAGTGGCACAGCTGCAAATGGACTACCAGTGAAAATGGAAAAGTATTCAGGTGCTGAATTCATTTTCAGTTAGAACTGGACACATGAATAACCAGAAAATATTATCCAAAACATTTTGTGCAGCAGGCCTGTGAAAAAGCACAGAAAAGACATAAGAACATGGATTTCTGTCTAGCATACTCAGTATTTCCTTCTGTTATAAATACCCTTTGAGACTTCATTGTTCTCGGCATCCTGTTTGAAGGGGATGCTGTTCTAGGCAGGGAAGCTGTAATTTTGTCAGTCATTATTTCATTCTCTCTGAAATAATGACATGACGCTTCAAAAATGAGGTGTAAATAAACCTCAGAATTCTTTTGCTGCATACAAACAATTCTAAACTCCCTGAGAGACATTACAGAAATAATTAAAGAAGTTTGGCAAGTATTTAATAATAGGAGTGAGGTGCACACCAGAAGGCCATTTCTGTAACTCAGTACTCAGGTTTACAGCAGCACATGTTCCTCATTTCAGTGGGTACATATGCCAAGGATGCTTCTGCCTAGATCCATAAACTGGCAATGCTGAACATGTTATTAACAATATTTGCTGGATGACTCACATCCAGGCTCCAGCCCTCCACTCATGATAAGCAACCAAAGCATAGGGTGAGGCAAATGCATTCACATTACATCAGAATGATAATTCTCAATTTTCTTTCTGACTACTAGATGCAGTCCTTCTACCTGTCCGTGTCTAAAATGTTCTCTACCTAAAAAATATGAGCTATTTTTAAAGGACTAATACACTGAGCAGTCCTGATCACTGAAAAGTTGATCATAGCTATTGGTCAGTGACAGAAAAAATAAGTCAAATTCACTTGACTGAACCATGGCAAAAGGGCTGATTTGTGGTACATCTGGAAGTGGTCCAAAATGCAGAATTGCAAAGCAGCAATGTGTGCTGGGGGCAGCCAGGGAGGAGAGAAGTTTAAAGCTATTCCACTCATCCACTGCTGTGTGTCCATGGATCCACTGACCTTATACACTGTTCTATGGCACAAAAGGCACCTCTAGGCAGGGGAACCAGCAGAAGATCTATGCATTTTCCCTGGACCACAAGAAAAGGTGATATCTTATAGAGCATTGAGTCTGAAATATAAAGCACTTATTTTGTTGAAGAATCCAATACTATATGAAAGACTTTATGAACTAACTTAATTTAGGAAAATCATTGCCATGAATTGCAGCTGGAGAAGGATAACACTTTCTTTTAAGATCTCTCTTCATTCTCAGATATGAGAAGGATTTATCTCAAAAGCTTGAACTAACTATCTTTTCAGTCCCATTTGCATGTCTTTTTGCTAAATTTGGTTTTAGGGATGAAAGTTTGAAGCTAGTATCGCCTATTGTTTAGTAGAAGCATATAATTGGTGAGTGAAAGGAAATAACTGCAAGGGTAACTGAGTAGGAATCCATGGACAACCTCAGCCAAAAAGCTGTAAAGTCTTTGCAACAAGAAGACCTGTGTACCATCTCACTTTGTCAGCAAAATGAGGTTAACTGCTCCAACATTGCTGAGGGTGTTTTGCAGAGGAGTCTTATGAGTGCACTTCCATTTTAAGGATTTTCTGCCTCACAGCTCCTTTGCAACAGCAAACAACACCTTTTGTTCAGGTTTGTTCAAGGTATCTTACCAGTGGAGGCAAAACTGCTTCCAGTAGGATGCAGTGCTGTAAGAAGCTCAGGCGTTGGCCTCTGGTCACAGAAAAGGGAGAGGAGGAAGTGGGAGTCCCAGAAGTGGGACAAAGCTTCTGAAGCTTCTGTCCCTGGAGATACAAACTTCCTGCTGCCCTGAGGACACTGCTGCTCTCCAATCCCAGATCTGGCTGGGCTGTGCACCCTCTGGGCTCCCAAAGGCAGCAGCCAGCTTGGCTCTCTGGGCTCTCACATGGGCAGTGGGGTCAGCTCTTTTACTAGCCCACATTTTGCTTCACTCAATAATTGCCTAGTTTGATTAGCTCCAGGCTAAGTGATTACTTCAGAATCATCACCTACTGCTCTGCCTGTGGCAGGACTGAAGGAGAGAATAAAGGGGTTTTTTTCCTGACTAAGAACTCATCTGACAAAACAACCCTCCAGTTCTTTGCATTCAGCAGTGACTCAGAGGGATGCGATGACTACACAGCTGACAAGTCACCTTAATCATCCCAGCTGTAACAGCCTTTGTGTTGCTAAAAGAGGCTTAATAATGCTATTAAAACTCATGGTATATGCTAAAATTTGTAGAACACTGTACAAGGGCTGCAGAGCTATGATTTTTTTTGCAGAGTCGGAATGACACAAACCTAAATGAGGAAATGAAATGCAGCATCACGTTGGCTCTTTTGCCACAGAGAGCAAATTTCAGAATTTTCACCGTGTAGGAGGGGATAATGTTTCAATTTCTGGTTTTGTCACAAAATGATTAAAAAAAACCAAACCAACAAAACCAAAACAACCCTGACATTCAATTATTTATTCTTAGACAAAATAAAATGTTTACTTTGATTTCTTATACTCCTTGGAAATGCACAGGAGCAGGCAATTCCAAAATGTCAGAAATCAAGCGAACAAGGCAGAAGGTCAGCTTTTCTGAACAGGCATCTTCTTTTGGAAAAGGAAGGTGTGTGCCCAGTGTAAGCAAAGTCAGGTGACATGAGAAGAATACAGAAACACAGCTTGCCAGTGTAGGAGAAAATTCATACAGCCAAAGATCAACTGGAGTTGAAGCTGCCCAGAAATGTGTGAGAAAATAAAAAGTTATTTTAAATACATTAATGGCAAAAGGCGGCATAGAAATAACATCACCTGTTACAGGATGTGGATGGGTGTGGGATCTCAGCACATCGTTCCCGATGTCCAGAGATGCCAGGAGAACCCTTGGGGGTCTCGAAAATCCTGGAATGTTGCCAAGAGTGTTTGGTGGCTTGATTTTGATCCATCCACAGAAGTAACAAGAGTCTGAGGACAAGAGAATCACTTTAGAGTACAAGGTGTAAAAGAGACACATTTAGAGGGTGAGATACAGACTTTAAGGTTTTTGGTACAGGGGGGTTATGGAGACAAGATGGAGGGATCAGGGTGTGTCTTGTCCTTCTTCTTTC